ATATTTAACATTATTTAAAGCTTTGACTAAGGTTGTCATTGGAGGAACAAATAAAACTAAAATTACCCATAATATGTTGTAAGTTGTAAGTATGTTTTACAAGATAGTCTAAGATCCCGATCTATGTGGTGGACCTGTTACTCTTTTTTTTATTTATTTATTTATTTAGGTTTTTAAAGAACAACACGTATGTATTACCACTTAACTTGATCTTAGGAGGTTTTTACCAAGAATTTGCTCCAAGCTATTTTACTCCGCTCGTGACCACCTCTTGTATAAATAAATATGTGGATTGATCTCATAGGTATATATAGGATAATTTTATTTAACATTATAAATAAAGCTATTTTTTCAGATTATTTAGCGGCTTTACTTCATTATTTCGTTCCCGGCGTTTGATTACATATCTCTCTCCCTCCCCAATCTCATCTCCCGTGATCATGTTTGCTTCGAAGCATTTGAAACATCGGGAACAATATAACCATGAAAAAATTAAAAAAAAAGTACATTAAACATTTTAACGGAATATCTATCCACGTTCAGATTAAAGTTAAACTTTTCATAACATATCATATATTAACATATATTAACTAGTTATACCGTATGCAAAGTAAACAAACGCAAAGTTTCACACGTAGCAGTGTTTATTATATGTGCATTATCACTTAGCTCGTTATCCTTGGTTACCGCGAGAATTCTTAGTACTTACTACTTTAAATACAACATTAGTGTAAAAGATATAAGGTTAAATGTTTTAAGACCTAGAAAAGGTCAAGTTAAAGCTCAGAGGACCCCTGACGAGCGTGTATGAAGAAATTAATAACAATGGACGACGCGAAAGAGGCATGTAGAGATAGAAGCGCTTGGCACTGTGGTCTCTCTGAGTATCCCGCAATGGTTATAGCTGGATGAACGTGATGTTGTGTGCGTGTATATAAGAAATCATAACACATTTGAAATTTAATCAACAATATCTGTTTTAATTAACATTATATATAGAATCTATGCTTAAACAGGAAAATTATTTACGCTTTTCCTTAAATATTGTTATCTATATTTTATTAGATAATCGAAGTAAATCTAAACGTTTATGTTTCTTCTAAGTTATTTTTATAAGGAAGACTTGTTTGTGTATATTATAGAGTAATTCAGCGTGATATATCCAATCGTTTTAGATGGCCAGTCGAAGAAATGCCATCTTTTGCTAAAAAGGCAAGTATTTTATCAGTTAAAAGTTATTCAAAAAATTTCGATACATGATTTTCCTTACGTTGTGATTTTTAATTGCTTTCATGTTAATTTTACTTTTATCTTGTGACTTGATTTTTGTTAATATTATAAACTCAAAATCGTAGAAAATTTTTACTGTTCTTGTTTAAGTATTTCTGTTTATATGGACATCTTATCCTAAAGGCCATACTATTTTCATTCGCTATTTTTTTTTTGTTTTTAGATGCCAAAATACGTGCGGACATCGAACCGTGGTAACTGCGTACGAGAACAGTTATCTAGTTAGTTTAGTGTAGTTTTGGTTGGTCGGTTATAGTTATAAAAAAACGAAACGAGTTCTGAAGAAGAAGACATAATACATTTGGATAGTGAGGATTCAACTGGAGAAGACTGCGAATATGATTGTATAAGCTGTGGTGACAACTACTGGTAAACCAAAAAAAATGGAAGATTGGGCATTTTCTATCTTAAATGAATGTATGAAAATTGTACGCCATATTTAAAAATACTTCCGACACATGTGGAAAAAAGGCATAGAAAAGTGTGAAGACAAAGAAAATGAAGGTGGGGAGAAAGACAAGGGGAAATGAACGAAAAATAATATGGCCATATTCTACGTCTTGTTATGGCCATCTGAGACAGATAGGTCGGATGAGATAGCCACTTCTTTTTTTTTAAATTTAATTACTAGAATTCTAATTAATCAATCGTGACCAAAGTCTGTAAAACCAAAGCTGATTAATAAAAAAATAATTATAAAGCGCATATTTTCATTTATTTTTGTAATCTATACATACCTATAATAAAATTGTAACTAAGTCCGATCTGTACATTAAATATTTTTTGGAAAATCTAATTGAAATAGATATTATTTTCGATACAGAGTCCGAATCTATAGTTTTTAGAATTTTTGTCTGTCTGTCTGTCTGTTACCGTATCTCGAGAAAACCATTGGACAGATTTTGATGAAATTTGGTATGGTGATAGCTGGTTATCCGGGTCAACATATAGGATACTCTTTACCGCGGGAAAATATCTAATTTCTGAAAAAGATACACAAACTGCAATGTATCTTACATAGAAATATGTAAAATCTAAGAATTTGGTGTTTGGTCATCTGAACGCGGGCGGAGCCGCGGGCAATACTAGTCATTATATAAAATTCTGGATCTCTACTACAGCCACCTACCAAATTCATCTTTAGCAAAGAATGTCGAGGTGATCCCATAAGTACGCAAAAATATAATGAAATTGGTCAAATCATTTAAGAATCTCAAATATTTATATCTATTTAAAATGTATCTAAATCGTAAATTCTTTAATATATCCATAATATACGGTTGTAAATGAATAATTCAACTAATTAATTGTACTAAGAATTACGAAATGTTTATGTAGCCTATAGAGAATCTACGTCATTGAAATTTTTTGCGACATTTTGTAAAACCGATCAAAAAAATATAGTAGTTTACCGGAAATTGTTTCTTTAAAATGGGGCACCAATAAATTTATTTGTGACAATAATTTTAAGTCATGCACAAATAAGCCACGATTCGTTCATGTTTTAATTTTATTTTAAGGGTGATTTTCATGATCATATATAGTACATATGTATAAATAATGACGATATTTCTAATTTACGGTTGAGGTTTTTCTTTTGTCGTCTTACTTTTGTTTTTCCTTGTAATTTTAACTAGCTTGACTGTTACACTTTCCAAACTGCAATTTGCATACTAATTGTTTTTTATATAAAACTAGCGGCTGTAGAAAAATAAAAACAAATGTACCCCACGGAAACCGCACATGTTCCGGGATAAAAAGTATATAGCTTATGTGCTATTCCAGACTATCTATCTCTGTGCACAATTTCATCCAGATCCGTTCAGCAGTTCTGGCGTGATTGAATAACAAACATCCAAACATCTAAACTTTAACATTTATAATATTAGTAAGATTATACCTTATGTTAAGAATACTCTTTAACACTTGTTGAGTATTTGTTTTCTAATTATCTTCAATGTATACTTTATCAGATATATTTTTTGTACGCTAGTGACGTTAGATTTTCTAGCAGATGTTTAAGATTCAAAAATAAGCTCTCTTTTAAGACTTTCCCGCACGATTTTAAAATAGTTGGCTAACTGAGTATATGTATAATAATATTTCTCTTGCTCTAGGCTTGAAATTTTAAATAATTCAGGCTTATATAAATAAAAAAATATTGTATGGTGATAGAAAAACAATTATTATCTTATGTTCATATTCCCATAGTCTTTGCCTCGCACTGAGAATAAAACGTCATGTAGTTAAGCACAATAAGCTATAAATTAGCTAATATATTGTTTTAAAATGATTTGTGTTATACGGAAAATTGTTACTAATCGAAATATTTTGCAAAAAAAACATAAATAATTTTAAATTTTCCATTATTATTGACATTGCTAATGTACTGAATGGTTTTGGATACTTATATATTTGCATTATCTATATTCTATAGAGATAGTGGATATTCTTTAAATATGTGTATTTTAATTAAAATAAGGATATATAGCTTTTAAAAAATTATAATATATTTGGTTTGTTTACAATACCACCATAGTAACACTAAAAAACCATCAAGAACAAAACTTTCAGCGCAACAGTCATCCGTGTCAATGGGACGACAAAGCGAATCTCACGTATTGAGTACAAGCACTTGTATCGAATCTTACGCGAGTTCGAAACCGTGTTTATTTCAGGAATACGCTGGATCTGCTCCAAAAACGAGTATAATCGGAAGCCGGTCACTTTACCGCTGACTCAACAACTGTGAGTAACTTCGATACATGACTTCGCTTTCGAATGTCAAAGATCCTACGAATGATCTAAATATATCAACAATCTCAATCTATTTTCGTTATTTTGTAGTAATTTTCATCGGAAAATCAGCAATGTGTGGGAAGATTTAATTGATACTTGGAAAAATTGTGTGTAATTGTGAATTTTTGAATGAGACAGTGATATACATTGTCTCTTTCAAAAATTGTTTTCCGTATAATATGGATGAGTAAAAATTTTTATTTTAAATATACGGTTTTGTAGGTATAGGTAATATAATCTCTACATAAACACAAAAGGGCCGTTTGAGTCAAATACACGCACGTACATATTAGAACTGATCACGACATGAAATTATGAAATGAATTATAGAAGAAAACCTTTAATAACTGAATAATAAGCTTAAATTTTTTATAATCATTTAATTAAGATAGTGGTTTATCGTTCCTATTAAAACATAACAATACAAAAATTCCATGATTATATTCTAAAATTTCACTTTTGTAGAGTAGCATAGACGTATTTAGAAATTTTCAAAAGCAAACAAAAGGAGTCCTATCAGATACATATATGACACAAAAGTATTGTGCAAAGCATTCCGAAATAGAAGCAATGACTTAAGTCAGTACCTTGTAAACAGATCACTCAAGAGCCAAGGTGCTCTAAACATTTGATCCTGATGTATTCCAGAGAGACTGATGTGCATATTGATAAATACGATGGTGCACGCGTTTTGGTCACTGTATTTACATTTATAATGCGTCACAACCAGCTCCGTGTACTTTGTATGCACATCTAATGTGATTTATCCACGCAAGCAAACGGTTTTACGTCTCTAATGTAAAAATTCAAATTTATATACTTTTCAATGTCGTTATTTCCATTATGTGAAGATTTTGACCAAACTTTAAGGTCACGACGATATTTATATTTATATTCTATACAGCTAGCTAATCAATGCAAGTTAGATCATCGTAGAAAACCTGTCTTGTAACGTTTAGTATTTCATATATTACTAATAGATATTGTAATTGATAAGATAACATTCTATTGTAATTGCATCGCCAATATGTTAGCTAAATGTTGTTTAATCAATATTTGGATTCGAAACCACATTTACCTTTTAGTATGTTACATTATTAGACTTTTAAAGTAGGTAACTCACAAATTTGCATAATATAAAACCGTCTTGTGACTTTTATCATTGTAATTACGTGATAGTACGCGCGCATTTCTAAAGATATTTCTAACTGACTATACATACATATACCCGTGTAATAAGTATATAAATTAACATCTACTTCATAGAGATTTGGTAAACCTTGAGATAACTCAATAGAAATAATTATATATAAATTTTAAAGCAAAATTTATCAAGCAGTAAAATGATCTAAGACGTAAAACAGATCAGTTATGTACGATAGCCCGATTTGTTCTACAAATATGTACATATAAAAGTGTTCACGAAATCAATGTTTGTATTTACGATGATTTATAAATTCAAAAAATAAAATAATTATGTACTACCTGACCAAAGAAGCGTTCCCGCGCTGCAGCAGTAGTCTCGTTTCGTGGAGTGTCACTTTTGGTGGAACTTGAATCCGCCGGTTGCGTCATGCTTAGTGATTCCTGAGACTTCTTCACAGGATCCTCAGGTGGAGGCGAAGATTGCGCCTGCGCAGTTTGAGGCGCAACCCGCTCGGCGGTATCCTCTGCCACTTTGGCTATCTTCTGTACACTATTGTCTATGGTACCACCACCAACCCCGTTAGTCTTTTCACTGTTTCCCTTCTGTTTCTTCTTGCTCTTCTTCTTGTTTTTCGGTTTTTTTGGCGGTTTTCCTTCGAGGAAGCGTTCGCTGGCGCAGCACTGCACATTACCCATGTCGAGGTGCGACCATGTCGCGGTGGCTCGGCTAGCAGGAGTCGGTTCGTCGGTCGGTCGTTCGAAACGCGTCGGCGTCGGCGCCGCCTTGCGGAATGAGCGCGTGTCGAGTCCCCGGCTCTGAGGCGCCCACCCGCCCCGGTATTTTTGACGCAAACTTTGGTTTCACGCTGACCGATTACGCGGAAGGCGTCCGTAAAGGATCGCACCCGAAAGCCAAAACGCAAACGCGTGCCGGCTGCGCTGGCGTCATCGCGCGTCTCTCCCCCGCGCCGCAAGGTCAAGGCACACTCATTGCTCCCGAGCTCGCCAGCAACTGGCGCTAGATGAAACCTCAACACCACCGGCACCAACAGCCAGCTACGAGCCGCTACTGCTATCGATCACGCAATGTTTACGTTTAGCTGCCAAGGGAACGGCGGAGTAACCAATAGCAACCACGTATTTACAGTTGTTATGCATTTTATTAAATCGGGTAATGCACAGAGTAGATACATTAACACACTATTCACAAACGAGACACGACACTATAAAGCTTGAGTAATAAACAACACTAATTACTTCACTTTTTTACTATTATTACCTATTACGTAAGAATTGATCTACGAATAATGTCCATTATAACGGACGGTAAACGTTGTTTTGTTTTGTTTGGAGCGGACTCGGTCGTGCTATACGTGTTATCGGACGACCAGAGGCGGCCGGACCGCAGTCGCACAGCGATGTGAGCACGTGTGGCAACGTATGAAACGCGTAGTAAATTTAATACGCCGAGTTAATATGCTTGCGACAAACTAAGTAAATATTGTGTATGTTTGTATTTTCTTTTCTTTCTAACCAACTACAAAAAAAGGAGGTTATCAATTCGACACGTACCTATGTATGTAACATTATTGAAACTGCAAAATATTTATACAAAATAATCTATTAGGGCTTCCAAACAAGTATACAAAATTGTATAGGTGTAGTATGTATGTTTATCCACGCATTTCTCCGAACTTAGCAATCGGATCGTGATCGTTCTTTTTTTATTTGCTTACATTTGTTTCAACTTAGGGTATTATAGTAAAAATTGCATCGACATTGGTTCAGTAGGTAGTTGTTATAATTAGTTGTTATAACCCCCCCAACGTGCGTTCACCTTATCGTGGTGGGGGGGCTCAGTAGTAGTAGCGAAGCTAAGAAACGCACAGGGAGGTTGCCCACTTCGGTGGGCGGTGGCCCTCTTCGGGGGGCGGTGTACCTTGCGGGTTGCTCCTGGTACTTCTCTGATAGCAGAGTGGACCTTGGAGCAACCCCATGGTTGTGGTGGTCTGCTTCGGCAGACCTGCCGTCGGGGCGTCGTAGTTGAATGCGTAAGCGATCCTGCGACGCCCCATTATGACGGGGGAAGGTTTTGTTGGGTTTTAGTGGGTAGTACTGGCTGTATTACGCCGGTGAGTCCCACACGTCGTGCGTAAATGCATTTCCCAACGTTAAAAAAAAAAAAAGGTAGTTGTTATAGACTGAAACGTGTAACTAAAACTGAAATAGTTTTTTAATTACTACTTTTATAGAAACTATTTCAGTTTTTACTTAAAACTAAAAATTTCGAAATAAAATTATTTAAAAAAAAATTGACTGACTTCAAAAAAAAACTAAAGTAAAAAATAACTGAAAACGAAAACCCCGCTCGGGTTTCATTTACTATAGATACCTAATCACATATTTTCGAAGTCGATGCCAGCCGATGTAAAGTCTATTTCGATACGTATAAATACATCACAAATTGATATCATATATGTATAATATATTGTAACTAATAATTAATTAAGAGTTCATATCTTAAAGCATTGTGTTTGAAGTCGGTTTATGTACGTTTATATTTTTCATTAAGCAAACAGACCAAGTGATGCTTTAGATAAGGTAGAGATAGTAGAACACTTATTTATTATTAATATAATATTTAATATAAAAAAGATTCCTCTGAATCAAGCTTACCTATGCTATAATATTTTCTAATCACCATGCTTGTCATGGAGACGAGCCATCATAAATATATGGTCCTATATAATTAATGTTTGGCAAGTTTTAATTTATTCACTTCCTCTATAATCGATTCTACGAAAAAGTAGAAACAATGTAATGCCACATGTAAATAAAGTCAAACGTGTAATTGCAATGATAATAATATAATTATTTTAAAAAAAGTTTCATTTATAGTCAAAACGCCTAAATTGTGATTGACTATGAGTATTTTTTGGCTTTTGGGTTTTTGATGGGTTTTTTGATTGGTTTACTGTTAGCCATTCAAGACTTTGTCTCTTTTTATTCCTCAATCTTATTAAAGTTCTGAGTTCGATTTCCACTTCAGCTCAAGGACGGACATTGATGGAAAACAAAAATTAGAGCTACATTTCATAACCCACAAAAATGTAGAGTCTATTGTTCAACCTTTTTTGGCATTACGAATTATATAAAATGAACGTATTCAACGATAAAAGTTGAGTGTAATGAAAATTATAGTTTCATAAGTAAGTTAGGTATATTATTGATGAAATGAAAATTGAAAGGGTTCTTTTCAATATTTTCATACTCTGTAATGAAATGATAAAATAAAAAAAAGAATGGTCACAATCCTATTACAATTTCGATTCCGATGAGTTTCGAAGAAATGCGTGGACAATCATGCATACATACATACACCTATAAAATTTTGTATATTTCCTTGGAAGCCCTAATAAATTATCATAATATGTGAATATTTTGTAGTTTAAATAATATTACATACATAATATGTGTCGAATTGATAACATCCTTTTTTGAACTCGGTTAATAATAGATTAAAAAATTTGTACTTTATTATAAATACAATGATTTTATAATTCTTAAAATAAGATCGGTTGAAAGTATGCGATCGTTGGTTATTTGGGTAGTTGTGTCGCAACTTTTGATGGCACGGAATCCGGGCCACGGGCTTTCACGCCGCCTTTCACACCGACGCTGTTATAATAATAAGCTGATACCAGCAAATCTTATTTTTTTAAATGTTCAAACAAATACATAGATTTATAAATGTAATTTTTATTCATTGAATAAAAAAATAACATTAATATATTATGCATTCAGTATTATTCGTTATGATATTGCAAAATGTTCAACAATTATTAAGAATGAATATAAAAATTTATTTCTTTTTTTTTTAACTAAAATAAACTTCTATTGTGGACTTAATCTGCGGAGAAATCTTTCGGTGTGCAAGCATGACAACTAACCTCATAGTATATGGACGCCATAAAGAATCGCCGGCGCAGAATGATATTTGATTGCATATTGATTTTATGTATATTTTATTACTTTATTTATAAATCATTGTGAATTCTAAGAATACGACAAAAAATCATTTTTAAGCGTTTTAAATGGGTTATAAATAATATATGCTTTATATATATGTATATATATATATATATATATATATATATATGTACATATATATGTATGTATATATATAAATTGGCTTATAAGTGAGCAAAATTATTTAGAACTTTACATAGGATATGAATGATGTAAGACGTAATAAATATCAAGTAACAATAGCAATTATAAAAGTTGCCCATACTTGATAGCGTTATCTAATAACTCAATTAATTTGACCTAGAAACTTGATTCATTCATAAAGAAAAAACTACGTTAGTACTAAAGGAGTCGCTTCAAATAGAGGTAATAACAACACTTAATGTAAGATAAGTAGATTTGCTGTTTCCGTAGACCTTTCGGTACCTCTCGCCAGTAGAGAGAAGATTGTGTCATTTTTGTCCGTCTGACAGCTAGTTTATGATATAAATCTAATTATGACAAATCACATTGAGCGCGAAGATTTGAGATACGATTTCGTGTGAGTGTGAGTGGGAGTGGGAGTGGGAGTGGGAGTGGGGAGTCTCGACCTTACTAATTACGCCTTGATTTCTGTAACCCAATAACCTTAGTAACTACACAAATTATTGAAATGTCTCCATTTGACTGTGATTGAGTATTAATTATATTTACGTAATCTATACATATATAATAAAATTGTAACTAAGCCGAATCTGTACATTAAATATTTTTTTGGAAAATCTTATCGAAATAAACATTTTTATCGATACAGAGGCCGTATCTATAATTTTTAGAATTTTTTTCTGTCTGTCTGTCTCTCTGTCTGTTACCGCATCACAGAAAAACCACTGGAGGGATTTTGATTAAATTTGGTATGGTGATAGCTGGTTATCCGGGGCAACATATAGGATACTTTTTACCGCGAGAAAATGTCTCATTTCTGAGAAAAAATACAAAAACTGCAATGTAAGAGTATACTAATATGTAAAACCGAGCCGTGGGCAATGCTAGTGTATTATATTAATAATATTATGTAATTAATCACATGCTCTTTTGCAAAATTTTATTATAAACTTATATGGTATTTATTATTTAATTACTTTTTACTACCGCTCTAGTTTCGTCTCGCTTTGAGTTTTTTTTTATTTTCTTAGATTGAGAAATTGCATATTATATTTAGAAGGACAATAAGTAAGAATAACTAAATCTTTAATTGAAAATCATATGAAATTCGATTTAACTATTCATAGAGACTTTTTAAACACTTTTCACACAAACAATTATAGATTAGCCCGTGTTTTGACTTTAATTTAGCGCCAAAAACCATAAAGGTTAGCTATGTATTTTGATACCACCACAAACAGTATTATATACTAACCTACCCAGAGCTTTGCTCATATGGGAGGCGAAAATAAATGGTAGCCAATGTCTGTTTTATGATGTGCAGCAAATCTGTCGTGCACTTTAAGCATGAAAAGAAACAGACAGACAAAGTTACGTTAACATTTATAATAAAAATATTTTTAAAGACTAACCTCATTATCACTTTCAGCGGCTGCCATGGCAACTTCCCTCTTCAGATGTTCCTCTGCTTTATCAAACTCTCTGTCCAGCTCAGACCCTTCTAGTTCGAGCTGTGGTGATGTTTGCAACTCTTCGACGCCTAAAGAGTGTTCTGAATCGGAATGGAATGATGTCGGACTTGGCATTTTCACGATCAGTGGACGGAAATTGAGCCGCGATATTTCTGAAATAATATCCCCCAAAAAGATATAATATAATTTGATGCATATTTTAAAATTTAAATGTTTATTGTATATTTTATTTTAATTTTAAAGCATTAATATTATATAGGATTCCTACTAATGAACTATACGTTATTATTTATATTTTGTCTGGTGTTTCAACTGGTTAAAAATTGTTCGAAACGGTCTCTGTATCAAATATAACAAGTTTATGAATATGAACAGTTCAAAAGCTGTTAGTAAGATGGTTCCTACTTGTATATAGTATACAGTTATGGATATAGTATACAGTTGTTTACGACCTAAGCTATTAATCCCTCCACGACCGCGGACACGCCGGCGCGGCGTCTCAGTTAACAATAGATTTCTTAGAATTTTTATTAATTTCTTAGAAATTTATCTGGAGGTTATAATCATAGTGAATTGTAAAGTTACTTTGTTATTTGAAAACACTGTAAGCTTCTTTGCATGTATATTGCACTAATATTCAACCGAATTAAATATAATACAAAAATACCTAAGCAAACTAGTGTGTTTTAAATAGATTAATCAAATTTTTAACTTTTCATTTAAGTGCATAAAATGAACATAAACTTGCAAATTAAAATTAATTGTTCTTTATTAATAACGGTGTCTAATTACTGTGATATAACATTGTAATAGCACCTACATCATACATGAGTTAGAAAATAACTTTTTCATGTTCTGGAACTATAAGTTAGATTTGTAAATTTTTAAGTTATGCATTATATGGGTTACACATTGAGAAGAGATATAGGTTATCTAACATGAAGAGGAACAAATATTCACAAATAAACGATGTACAAAAGCTAGTTTATAACATAATCTATTAAAAGGCCTCGGTACTTGCAACGACGTTAGATATTTTGAATTCATACTTGATATGCGTATGACCATAAAGTTACTCTACGAATAGAATTATGTGGGTGGGTTTAACGTACAAGTTTTAGTTCTTATCATAATTGAATTATATCCACTTCATAATATACTTACTTTTATTTTCAGCTTTTTCCATTTTTATTTTTTTCTGATTGTTCGCAGCACTGGAAATTATGGGACGTATAGCAATTCTTTGCAGACCGCTACCAGGAAGAAGACTAGTGATGACACGTTTAGGCGTGTCTCTTTCTGGACTTCTGTGAAATTGACCATAAATATCGTCATTGTCTGCATCAATATCCATTAGACTATCGTCGAACTGCTCGAAGTTTTCCAAGTCAGAATCTAATTCACTTCTTGATCCAAGCGATTCCGATCGGTAGAAGGTCTCTGAATTCCGTCTGCCACTCGTCTGCTTTGGCTCAGGTGAAGAAAAGCTCCGCATCATGTAACCTTTGTTCTGATTTTCGCTTGGACTACCCTCATTCTGAGTGCCAGGTGATGAATAGCTCCTTGGTAGCTGGGTCTTTACACCTTGCATTCTGCGTTGCTGTTGGTTTGTTCTGGTTGCAATCAAACTTCTGCCTCGGCTGCCGCTGGGAAACAAAGATTGCTCTTTCCGACGCATCACAGCACTTGAGACGTGGTGGACTCTATGGGATCTTCGAGCAACTGGAGCTGGGAATTCATTTGTGATTTGAAGCACACTTCTTGATGATCGAATTACAATATCAAATAGCAAGGCCGGACGCAGCCAGGTGATATATAATATGATAAGCACTAGCGAGCACGACCGACTTACAAATACTGTTGCTTCATATTGAAATTTGATTAGACCATTAGACTTTAACCCACGCAGATCTTTGGTATAATTGAGTATAGTAATAAGCCGTTCACGTTTTTTGTATTTAATTATACCAATGAATTGAAATATTTGTTTGATAATCACGACCGTTTGATTAACTTCACTCAGTAATTTACTTTAACACGTGCTGTAGTGGTTACGTTGTTCAATGAGAGTGAACTTACTCTACGCGTAAAGAAGACGTGTAGGTTAAGCTCTGGAGGTGGACAACTTTCTCTTTTTGGTCATCGTAATTCATTAGTGAGCTTTACTCAATAAAAAGATTATAAGCTACATCCTCCCATTCTTCTTAACCATAACATTTTTATAATGACATTAAATTGAAGAGACTTTGACAAGCTTATTAGAAAGTGGAAACAAACAAAATATGGCTTAATTAGCAAAAAAAGCTTAATATTTGTGTTTATGGATTTCTAATATGAAAGTGCATGTATGTATCTCATATTGTATGTATCTCATATTGTATGTATCTCATATTGTATGTATCTCATATTGAATGTATCTCATATTGAATGTATCTCATATTGAATAAAATTAATTGTAGATTCTTTTATATCCAATGCGGATATAAATAGACATTCATTCATTCAATAAATTAGCGACATCTATTGTATGTACGTGGGACTAATAGTTTAATTTATCGTGAACTAGTTGACATAATGCCAACTTATCGCCATGTTTCTTATAGTTGCAAACTAGATGGCACTGTAAGTGATAAAAAGTAAAACAAATATTTTTTAATTACAATTTTTATTATATATTTATAATTATAATACGACATTAAAAGTGCAAGCGCTTTTTTGGCAATATAAAAGGTTGCATTGTCCTTTAATACTTCAAAGAGTGAAAACAATGGAAGAATAATTTGTTCCCAAGCGGTATCGCAAAAGCTGTAAAATAAGATATCCATTACCTATTGTTGGGTCCCTAATAAAACTTCGAGATATTCCTTGCTTATATTCTTATAATCAGTACTTTTATAATCGTCTGTGAGTTACATAATTTATAATCATAATTTTCAGTATTACAAACAATTCGTGCCTAGTCACTACATGGTGGTACCACGGTAATGTAATGCATATATTACCGTGGTGGTACCGACATCTCTGTGCAAAAGCGCGGGAAAACAAATGAATATCCGCGCCCTTTTTATTTTTTTAAAACACATTCCTGTCGACCAAGGTCACATAAGTAAATGCCTTATACATAAATCATTACAAATTAATCAAATATATTATTTTCTATTAAAACACTCAATAAATAAAAATGCAACCTTACACTATTACCTTACATATTGCGGTTCCAAAGCAGGTGCCTTATTTTACATGAAGACTACACTGGAGTTAAGTGACTGAAAATTGGTTAATACGTGTCTCATGTTAGCCGCCTAATAATAAAGTCAAAATGTGAAAAATAAAAGTTGTGGGCCTCCATGAATATCACTGAAACATATGAAAATAGTTTTAACTCCACATCAGTGTGTTTAGTGATTTTTTGTTCAAGTCAATAGTTGCCGAATTACTCGTATATGTATGCTTTTAAAATCGCTTAAATCATTGTGTCCCGTAACTTTTAAAGTATGCGGAGAAAATTAAAAAAATAATAATAATTAAGATAGAGCTTCCAAATAATTTCAACAAAAATTACTTTAAATAAAATACGTTGAGTTATGGGATATGTTCGATAATGGTATCGCATCGCATATAATACGATCGGCCTCAAAAAAATTGTTTCTTTAAAAAATACTACGAAACATATTTTTTTGGAGTCAATAAGATTTAAGAATCGTAGTAATTAGTAATTAATATTTCATACTACAGAACCCTCGGTGTGTAATTCAGACTTGCCCAATTTTTTGTTATATTGTAACGCTTCGCTCGGGTTTGTCCCTAGGTACGTTTTAAATAGATATAAATAGTTATTAGCTAGCATTAGCCATATAAATTTCAACTTTTTTTTATTTCATTTTTCTCATGTTTTAATACTTATTATCCTATACCGGACTAAGTGAAATCCGAAAAAATCAAATATCATAAAAATTGGTCCAGCCGTTCTTGAGTTAGAAGTGGTGTAACTAACACGACTTTGTTTTATAGACATATACTGCTGGACTGATATTTATGATCTTTGGTTAGAATAACTATTAAAACATCATATGTATGTACATTCGTTTAATTGCACTAATTTAAAGTTAACTAAATAAAACCGTTTACGAAGAGAAAATTTTAAAATTGTATCGAACTGTTAAATTTATTCGTTATCTTAGAAAATTTTATGACATTCACATAAAATTTTAAACAATAAAAACAAAACTTTGACACAAATATTAAAATTAGTGGGTAGGTTATCATTATAGGTATATCACCAAAAAACAGTTAAAAAATCATCATCAATTACGAAGTCATAACTTTTAATTTTCCACATCTCACACAATATTCTTTGAATGATGAAAGAGTTTCCTGGAAATACAATCCAGTATGATTTGGATTTAGTATTATTGTAATTTTCAATACATTTACAATAATTATCAACTGAAACTTTATTATTCTCTTTTCTATTTTTGTATTAATGTTAATAACTTTTACTGTCTTTTCAGTCTCTCTTATCATCTTTAATTTTTTACTTCTTTTTTTGTACTCCTTTAGTAGCTTTATCTTTGGCTATTTTTGTATTTATAATGTCTTTTTTTTTTCATTTTTTCTCTCGGAACTATAAGTTTGTTATATAGCTCTTTCTCCGCTCAGTTTAATTAAATCTATGTTTTCAAATTCTGTTTCAGTGCGAGAGAAATCGTCATATCTTTTGATCTTTTACTTTCGTTTCGACCTCTTTTCTTCATAATTATCATCTTGTTATCAGCTGATTATTTTCTACTGTCTTAAAATCTTTTTATTTCGTTGTCTCCAATCTAGTTCTTTTTGTAATGTTTGTTTCTTCTTTTTTATCGTGTTTTTGGACAATTTTTCATCGAAATTTAAACCTTCTGCAGATTGTTAACCCTTTTAGACATAAAGCTCTTGCTCATATTTGTGAGGCAATTCGCCTACCTACAACACTAACTGTACTTAGGGCGACTATCCGCAAAATTATATGGGGCGACTATCCTTTTCGGTACGGATACTTGCCCTTATATTTTGAAAAATAAATATATGTTATTCGACAGCTTAAGGTAATACGTAGTGTAACTTAAGTTTCGGTAGACGCGTAAAAGCATAAAGATGGACTGAATCAATAACTGTAAAAAAATATATTCAATAGAATTAGAAAATACACACGTATATAACTTCAACGCTCGTTAACGTCCTACCACTGAAGATTTTCGCTCACACGGAGAAAACACGTTTACCTAGTCCCACTTCTGGCATCGTCCTAAGGTCTGTGGAAGAGGCGCTTCAAATTACAGAAGAACGCTAACATCAGGGACAACTCTAATAAAGCGTATTGAAAACCGGGGCATGTATCCCACTGAGGTGACTATCCGGGTTTTACCCTATACTCTTACAATGGAGGTTTTGTATTTTTTTCTCAGAAATGAGATATTTTCCCGCGGTAAAAAGTATCCTATATATTGACCCGGATAACCAGCTATCACCATACCAAATTTTATCAAAATCCCTCCAGTGGTTTTTCTGTGATGCGGTAACAGACAGACAGACAAAAATTCTAAAAAATATAAATTCGGCCTCTGTATTGATAATAATGTTTTTTTCAATAAGATTTATCCAAAAATATCTTATGTACAAATTCGGCTTAGTTGCCATTTTATTATATGTATAGATTATTTAAGGAGAGAATATAATGCTATATTTTATCATTTGTCAGACAATAACAACGTTACTATGGCAACAAACAGTTATCAGCTAACTTCATCATGTCGCTTTTTGGCTGTCGGAGTGCGCGCGCATTGAAAAATTTTAGTCTTATATTTTTTTCCGAATTAAAGTTATTTAGAAAAGCTATCTTACTATAAATGTTGAATAATACAAATAACAAAACTAAATAATTCTATCTCTATCTCTCACTCAAACTACACAAATATACTCGTAATACTAGATTTTTTAAGAACTCATTGAAAAAAGTATAGAGTAAGAAAATATTAACTTTATGTATATTTTCATATCATTCACACAAGCAACAATATCATTTTTTACTATTTTATTTACATTCATTGCGCTACTGAAGTTAAGTTAGAATGTACACGCGTTTCCCAGTAGCAATAGTAGTAATATCTCAAGTTTTTAAGTCAATACACTCGTAGGTTTACGGACAATGTTTATGCAAGACAAGAACTGTAATAGACTTCACTCATCATCAGACACGGACGTCAAAATTAAAAATTACGAAAAATAATGAAAAGTTCGCAACTATTCTAAATTTTCATGATACTATTAAGATATTTACGCGATTTGTTCGCAAAAATAAAGTATACACGCAACGCAACTAACTCCTACTTTGAGGCAGGTGAGTTAGAACGTTATACAAAACGGCAGTTGGCAGTCGCCCGCGCAGAACGACTCGCGAGCGTCGCGAACTATTGTCTTCCTGAGGAAAACTAGATTGGTAAGTTATTTTACCTTATAAATAACATAAAAAGTTTTAACAAATTCTCAAGTTCACTAAAGGTTTTATTAAATTTTTTTCCTTAACACAAATTGATTTCAGATTGTTTATTGGAATCGTCATACAAATGTAATGCGATATACTTTACCGACATAACAAGTTAGACGATTTTATGTAATTTTCTTGTTTTTGTTGCACAGTCG